TCAGAGGAATGAGGTGCATGTTACTAGAAATCAGTCCTCACCAGTTCAGTGCTGCTATGTGGAACTTATGTGAAATCTATTCTGTGATCCGGTGTCATGAAAACACAATGATACTGATGTCTTCTAGATGCCATTGATGATCTATTCACTTAATTCATAGTGGTGAATGTCAGTTGTCCTGAGTTAGAATTAAATGGCACTGTGGTAAATGTCATCCAATGCAGCTGAATGAGCATATGTGATATCTCTGTAATCTAGTCTGTAGATAATATAGTATATTGTAAAATGTTTCTTTTTCTGTTTTGAATGGAGAAACCATCTCTGTTCGGATAGAAGAATCCAATTTGAATTTTTGTTTTTTGAGTGAGGTGTTTCATGTAAGGACAATCTGCTAACTAACTAAGTTCTCTAAAGTACTTATAATTCTGTACTGTCTCTTTTAGATTTCCATTGACAACATGGATTGAAGTTCCGTGATCCTGCAGAATGTATAGCCTTCATTTGGACTTTCTGGAGTTTAGAACAAGCTCACAATCTTAAGTTAATAGTTAATTAATTTAGGGGTCTGGATGTCACCAAAATCTGATTGTAACCTGCAGAAAGCCTGGTTTGTTGTATAGCCGATAACATGCAGGATGGTATCATCAGCATAAATATCAACATTGCAGTGCTCAAATGGAAAGTAAATATTTATGTATAGAGTAAGGCACCATCCACACTACTTTGTTTTAGTTTACAAATGGAGAATTAAAACAAATACGATCTCTGTCCACATCAGCGTTTTAGCTGCGGATCAGAGGTGATCCCCGTCTAGAAGATTTGGCGAAAGCATAAAGAAATGCAGACCAAGAATCAGATTTTTTTTTGCATGCACCAATAACGACCCGGGACTGAATGTAACACCGGCGTTAAAAGCGGCTGTGGCGGCGGAAAACGGTAACCTACAAATGTAGGCAGATAGGCCTAAGTGTTATTTGCACAGTACTGAATATTTTAATAAAAATACCAAAACTAAAACTCTGGTCAGCAGCATCATGTTTCTGCTTTGCATGACTTATAAGACCCAATCAGAGAACCGAGTGTGAGCGTCTGCGTCATCGTTTCTGAAGTCCTCCGTTTTGGCCCTGGTCTTCACTAAAACGCCCTCCGGAGTTTTGAAACGCAAAACGGGGTCGGCAGCGTTTCCAAACTTCTGTTTTAGGTCTTCGTTTTCGCCTTGTAGTCTGGACGGGAGGTGCAAACGTAGCAAAAGGTCTCCGTTTTAAGTCGAAAACGCAGTAGTGTGGATGGGGCCTAAAAGCAGAGAGCCTGGAGCTTCCTGGTGGTCTAAGGTTTAAAGCACTGACCTTAATGTCCCATGATTGAGTCTGGGACATTTGTTGCATGTAATTTCTCATCCCTGTCACCCCTAATTCCCTGGCATCGCCCTAACTGTTGATTTACTAATTAAGGCATAAAAATACATATACACAAATAAACAAAAAAAGCAAGGCGACTAATATCGATCCTAGTGTGAAATCAACTACTATATATTTGATTTGAAACCATCTGCAACAACAGTCTGACCAAATCCAAATCAGCATATTTCAGTGTCATAATTTGTATAAAGAGCCTTGGACAGATTTACAAGCGCTGCACATTGTTGCTTTTTATTAACAGAATCCACGGTGTCACCCACTACAGCAGTTACTAAACGGTGAGCCAGTCTAAAGCCTGACTATTGCAGCAGGAAGGCATTGATGCTATGGACTGGCCCGCCAGTTCCCCAGACCTGAATCCAATTGAGCACATCTGGGACATCATGTCTCGCTCCATCCACCAACGCCACGTTGCACCACAGACTGTCTAGGAGTTGTCTGGGAGGAGATCCCTCAGGAGACCATCAGCCACCTCATCAGGAGCATGCCCAGGCGTTGTAGGGAGGTCATACAGGCACGTGGAGGCCACACACAATACTGAGAATCATTTTGACTTGTTTTAAGGACATTACATCAAAGTTGGATCGGCCTGTAGTGTGGTTTTCCACTTTGATTTTGAGTGTGACTCCAATCCAGACCTCCATGGGTTGATAAATTTGATTTCCATTGATAATTTTTGTGTGATTTTGTTGTCAGCACATTCAACTATGTAAAGAAAGGAGTATTTAATGAGATTATTTCATTCATTCAGATCTAGGATGTGTTATTTTAGTGTTCCCTTTATTTTTTTGAGCAGTGTATAATTTGCACTTCACACAGCATTTCCTAAAATGAACAGTTGTTTGATAAATGCATAATCTGGTATCTTTTGTTCAATCATTCAATAACAATATGGGTCTTAAGAAACTAAGGACTTTATAACAATTACTTAGTTTTTTAATGTTTCCATGTCTTTTTTCTGTCTTGTTGTGGTTCTTCAATTGTGTTAGTCTATTTTTATTTCTACTTATTATGCATCTTAATTATTTTTGTAAATCACTTTGTGATATCTGCTTTAGAAAGTTAAAGCAGTATATAAATACACTTGAGTGGACACAAAGGACATTATCTGAGGAAAGGCACTAGGTTGTGAATAGCACAGTTGTTCAAGGGATTTTGGCTTTGTTTAGGTCACAAGCGTCACCACCGACTAGAGAGAGTTGATTGGCTGTCAACATCAGTTTATTCCTGTATATTTCAGTATATTTCTAAGAATTCTGTTTCCCAGCATGTAAATGAAAAAAATACAAATAAATAAATCAGGAGTTAAAGTCAACAGCTTGTATCACTGTGGGACACTGCTGTGCTTCTGCACGCAGCTCCACAGGATCAAACAGCAGCGTCAGCTTCTGATTCAATCCACTGCTGCCGCTGCTGCGTTCAGCCGTGACGGAGGTTCAGCTTGAAGCACAACAACAGTTTCTTTTTACAAGTGTTGGTGAACACCCTGGGACCACTAAGTGTGTCTGAACGCAGCCCCATGAGACTTAACGAGAGCGAAAGAAAGAGTTTGACTCCACCTACAACAAACAGCTTCAGTTCATCAGCTGATGAGACTTTGGGAGTGCCTCTGAGCAGAGAAGCTCAAGTGAAACACAAAAGACTCGCAGATGAAAGAAGAAATGGAGAACAGAGGGGGGAGGGGGGAACATAAAATAAAAAGGTAAAGAAACTTTTGGTGGGAAACTGAGTAGGTCAGAGTGATTGTAAATGTCAGCTACAGTACAAAACATGAAGAAAGAAAGGACTGAAAAAGAAAAGAAGTGAACAACAGGTAAAAAAAGAGCAAAGGAGCTGATGAAGTATTGATGGAGGAGAAAGTGGGTCGATAAAACAGTGAAGAGAATAAACTCCAGACGTCGTGAAGGATGTGAATAAAACATCAAGTGAATCAAATATAAATGAAATATAAATGATGTAAAGGAGGTAAAGAATGTGAGAAAAAAAACTGCAAAAGTGCTTTTTCAGGAGAAAATGCAAGACAAACTTAAAGCTTATTGAGGTGTGAAACAAAGAGTTCCAAGAGGATCCTTTCAGTGGCAATAATACGAAGAACACTTTGGGGGGGCAATAGTCTAAAGGCCAGTTAGTGTCCCAGAGAGGCCACAATTAAATGTAAAGGTCATCCTGGGGTTTCGTTGTAAACTTAAGTTCCTGTTCTCACTGACACAATTTCAATAAACCTCAAAACCTAAAAAATCCTGAGAGACTTGCTGTAAAAAATAATCAGGAGATGCTGAGACTCCGTGGATTTCAATGATTGTTGCCTTTTGTCCGTAGACTAGTCACAGTTAAGCTGCCGTCACGTCAAAATTTGCGATTTACTGGCGAAAATCTGGATTTGACAGAAAAAAAGCATGGTTGTAAACATAAATTGTAGGCTAGCGTGGTAACATCAGCAGTCCACAAAGTTATTAATCACCAAACACGTTACTGTCATTAACCCCGTCAATGTCCTTGCACTCACTGCAGCCAATCAACATATTTCCTACTTTGCTGCTGTCATTATTTTGCCTGCAGTTATAAAAAAAGAATTTAAATAATCAATATTTCCTGAATGAGAGGTCAAAAAAGTTCAGTCAGCTTGAGGAGACTCACCCTGTTCCACACAGTGAACGAGTTTGACTGAGTCATTCTGATATTGGTCTGCTGCTTTGTTTAGACATATCATTGTGACAATGCATAGCTTTTTATTAAGTGAAACCCCATTTTAAACTATTCATGCCATTCAATGTATGTATTTGTATCCTGCAATTCTCTCTCTGTATGGTAGTTTTAAGGATTAAGGAAGGATTAAGGATGTGATGTCAAGAGTTGAGCATTATCATGTTGGATGTCTTAAGTCTTTTTTGTTAAAGCAATACATAGCGCATCCTCTCAGTCCACAGCTTGTTTTACTGCACTATATACACAGGTAGTTGTTTTACTTGTTACAGTTAAGTCACTCAGTGTGTGTTTGCTGCTCTCAGTGATCAATCCAGTTAATTACTGATTTCAAACCACAGCTGTTGTTACAAACAGCAAGCATAGGTGTCCTCATATCAATCAGGACTGAAATCTTAAGGATTAAAGCAGCAACTTTAATTAATTCACACTTGTCTGTGTTTCAATTTGACAAAAGCTTTTGATATTAGTGGTTTGAAATGTGCATTTTGTTTACGTTTGGATCATGACGGGCCCAAAACAATGACAAATGCACGTCACAAGTTACCAGAGCCCAGAGTTTATTTTTATAGTATTTGTGTTTTCAATTTGCAGTTATAAATAGAAAAAGGAGTTCTCCCCATCTGAGAAGCTGTATGCAACAAATGTTTTATATTTTCCTACTTAATAAATCACCTAAATTAATAATTGATTTCAGTAACACTCACTGTGCCAGCTGCAGTCGGCACAGAAATTCTTTTGTTCTTGTTGAGATTTCCTCACTGTTTCATAGGTCATTCCCGCATAATAACTACCGACCAGCCTCATCAGACTTTCTGACATCACAGCCTAAAGTTTGCATCAACATTTACAGTATTAAACACATTTGAAACTTCTAACCTGTTGTTGTTCCTGCCTTCCTGCCCGTACAGGAAGTGCTCCTGGTTGATAGTTATGTAATGAGTGGGGAGCTGCTCTGATTGGTTTTTGCTGATGGTAACAACGGGATAGCCCATTTGTAGAGTCCACCTGTCCATCATCTCTCCGATGTTAATGTCCCGCCCCTCTGAACGCATGGCCTGGAAAAAACATTGCATACGAATAATCAATAACTAATAACGACTAATTTACAAAGATTATTCAAGGATTATTTAATTGGGTCATTATCCATCATCAATAACCTGGTGAAAAGTTAACCAATATTTAGTTCAAAGTCACTTAATTAAGAGAAAAATTACTTTCAGATAATTGAAGCACCATATCAGTATAATGAACGGCACTAACGAAGATGAATATAATTAAAAAGTTCTAGAAGCTTCTTGTGTGAAGGACAAACAATAAAACAAGCCTCGCCTCCACCTGTCAGTAATGCTACCATGGCAACAAGACTTTCCTCATCTTTGTCTCATCAAGTCAGTCTTAACGAGCGTCTCTCTGGCCTTCATTACAACTGCTTCGTTAAATAATTAACAGCTTCAGTCAGTCTCCCTGCTGTAGAGCAAATCACTAAAACTGTACTGCTCTGCCCTGAAGCTTTTGAGCCAGCGGAGGACAAGTGGTTCAAAACCCAGATAGGTTCACAGACAGGTAAGTGTTACCTGAGACAGTTTGCTCCACAGGTCGTCTCTGGCTGCGTTGCTGTACATGTGACTCAGCAGATAATCCTAAAAAAACAGAAAACAGCTTAAAACACACCATGTGACAGGAAATTACATCATTTGGTAGACCCACAATATTCAGCTGTGTCCAAAATATACCTGCATTTGTTATAAACCGTCTTTCTGCACCAAATCCCATCTTGCATACCTGATCTTAATAGTAAAACTTCAGTTAAAAGCCTAGTCCCAATTAGAGGCCTCTCCCTTTTACTGGCCTGGTGTGGCTTCATGTTTTGACAAATAAACACATGTCTCAATTAGATGCCTGTTCTGGTTTTCATTTAAGTTTTTTAAGATGATTTAAGATGTTTTAAACTAAGCGGGTCGCCCGCTTGAGCTACTTTTCAGCTGTTAGATCGTATATACAAATATAAATGTCAAAATCTTTGTCCATATGGACATGCTACAAATCGTTACATCCGTTAGATTCTTTACAATACAATTCAGATTTTCCAGTATGGCAAATGAGACATAAAAAAAGCCTAGTAATATTCATACTGGTTGAAATAAAGTAGTAGTCTATTCCCCATCTTTACTGAGCAGGAGTTTTGTGTAAATGGAATAAAAGGCCGGCAGCTTATAGACGCCTGTCCTAAATATGGGCATGGTGTGTTCAGTGAAAGTAGCAAATAAAGGCCCAGGCTAATAATAATTAAAAGTTTTAAAGTAGTAGTAAAAACATAAACAAAGACTTGAAGCATAAATACTTAAAGAGGTCATATTGTGCTTTTTGGCTTTTTACCTCTCCGTCATTGAGTTATATATCTTTTTTGTGCATGTAACAGGTTTGCAAAGTGAAAAAGCCCAAAGTCCAGCCCAAAGGGAGTTCCTGTCTCCAACACGCCCTCAAAAACAGCGGTGGAAAAACAGTGAGCTGCAGCACACAGCTCTCCTCTCCCTTCCAAACACTAGCTACCCTCCAGGCAGTCAGTGGACATAAAGTTGTTCCTGTGATGTAGAGACAGAGCTCAGTTAAAACTTTATGGATTCTTTTGTTACAGATTAATAACTCACCACTCTGAAACTCTTGCTCCAGTCCATGTTGCTGGTGGCTACTTAACACATAACTATTCAGCTTAAGATAGGATATGAAGCCAAGGTCAAGGGCATGTGCTTTGGTTACATACTGAAACATCCCCCTACCATCTCTGCATGCTTTTTCTTTATGTACTGTATAATGTTATACTACTTTAGCGCTTTGGAATTAAATATTGACAGTGAACACACTCTTGACGTCATTACAGACACTTCCATATACTGTAGTTATTGGTAGGAGGCAGGGTTGTGTAAGTGACATGTCTCTGTCTCCCCATTTAACGATACCTATGCCTGTGTGAATCTGTTGGTTTTAGGAGCCAATAATGTGAGCGAACGCTGAAAAGCTTCTAGAAAGAAACATCAAACAGCGTTCGGTGTTTAATGTTTGAAATAAGTCTCAGTGAAATAACATGCCAGTAGGCCTCGGAGGAGCAGTGAGTTTAGCGCCTGTGTTGAGTCTAAAAGGCTTTGGGTTCAATCCCTGCTCCGACTTCAAACTCTTAAGTTATATTTTCTGAGCTAATGAACAAGGTGAAGACTCAAAAGCTCCCAGAAAGCATCTCCCAGTTCAAAAGGACTTAGTGGTGTGGCAGTTTCGCTTTCAACCCGTAATTCGTTGGTGACGGTTTTGTTTGGTTTGATCCCTGTCTGTTTCCAGTTTCGGGAAGAAAACTCATTCCCACTGCAGTGGGTTGCGGATATAAAAGCTCAGAGAGGTTGGTGGATGATTGGGTTTATAATGAAACAAGAAAAGGCAGGAAAGTAGTACAAGATAACACCGAACACCTACAGAGAAACCGCTCTAATCTGCTTCTCTGTGATGGAGAAGATTCCTCACAAACAGTCAGTCAGTTGTCATGGTGTGTATGGAGGTCGATAAGGCAAAGGAGAAACTCTTTATTGGAACAAGATGACACATGATAACAACAGAGAGAGAGTGTGTGTGGCTTTGATAAGTATGGCTCTCTCACCTTCACCAAAGCTGACATAGAAGAGATAAAACACCCCCCCACACACAGAGTCTGACCCTGATTCCAATACAAACACAGATTTAGAAGCATGATACACCTAAACCCAAACATTTTCCAATGATAACAAGCCTTCTGTCAGGAAAAAAAGATGTTTATGACTGATAATAATTTCATTTAAAATGTGTTATCAACAGCTGTGAGGGTTAGGGTGAGAGATTTATGGCGTTTTAGCAGACAGGCTGTTTATGAGGACTGTTTTCCCATATCTGAGGATAACATGAACCTCAACTTTCCATCAACACATCCAGGTTCCTCAACAGGCCACTATGGCTTTTTAATTCTAAAGCCAGGTGAGCTCCTCTATGCTTTAAAAAGGTTCCTAAACACTGAAAATCTCGCTGTTTGTAAGGTTGTTATTTAAATTAATTAGTATTGATAATATTTGAGCGTGTGTTATCTGTCTGCAGCTAATCTCGCAAATAACTGGATTCATCCGCCTAACATTTTTTGGGCTATGACTGCTCTAGGACCTCTTGTGGTTGCAGTGAGTCAATTTTTTCGAAAAACTTATTTATAGACCAATATTATTGTAAAGCTTCGACTTTTGTCTTTTCAGCGGTATTTGCATGGCAAAAGGCATTTCCTGCAATCGGCTAGGCTAGAAACAAAGCTTACCTAGTCTGTCGCAGGCCAGCATCTGCAGATTAATTCCATACCCGATATGTTATGATCCACTAAGGCAATATACGAGTTGAAAAAATACCAGTTTTTGTTATCTTTGTCACCATTTTGACTGTAAGAGAGCCAGGAGGGACAACTGAGTGAGATTCAACTCAGGGGTTTTATTTTGTGTGTCGTCAACAAAGTATTCTAAATAAATAAGAATGTTTAATGAATGGATTGATTTGTCTCCCCATTAAGAAAGACGCTGAGCGCATTTACGCACGAGGTACAGCAGCATAACTTCATTGATTATTTCAATCCCCGACACTCCGACAGGATCGGTCAGGATGAACTGACAGCAGCCTCTCTGATCAGGAAAGTAATTCGTTAAAGCAAACAAACACATAGCCTATAGAATTGTTCCATCAGGGGAGCTACCGTCTTGTTAAGAGGACCATCGGCTTCCCACAAGAGGAAATAACGTTACTCTTTTACTCATGGAATTGTTTTTCTGGTGCCGAAATGTAATGTGCGTTACTGAGATTGTAACGGGTATAATTTGTTCTTTTAGTAATGCTTTATATTACTGTGTTAAAGCAAAAACCAATACATTACTGTAATTGTGTTATTTCTGTAACATGTTCCTCCCAACACCGATTAAGTTTAGTTACGCGAACACAGGATGCTCCCATACCATACCATTACCATTAAACTATTCTATGCACCTAGAAAACAGAGACTATACTATATAAAAAACATTACATACATCTACATGACAAAAATTCCACTATACAAAAACACTTTCTCCCCTTCATTTCACTACTCTCACGCACACACTCTAGACACACAGCCTGCCCTGCATGTCTTGTTCCCCACCCACATGCCCCTCAGGCACACCTGACGAATACCTGCACTCTTCTAGTTGTTAATGAGGTTTGGCATTTTATGCCATATTCATGTCACACAGGAGCTACCACACTTTCAGTTTCTGACCTCTAAATATTATTCACAACAACATCCAAGTCAGAGATAAGACTGGGGAACAGATTTCTCTGAAAGCGCTGATATCTCTGACTTTGCACTTCAGAATACAGAACAGGTGAACAAATAATGTTTCATTTGAGCTAAAGTCTGTTCTACAAGGTAACTGAACCCAAACATCATTGATATAGTGATATATTATCAGTGCAAAATATATATAACATGCTCTACAATCATACAACCATCTGGCGTTATCACCTGACGTGTATGCTTGCATGTTGTAAACATGAGAATATTTCCCATCTCTACCATCCATCCTGTATGAAATGCACATGTTATTAGGGGTGGTAGCGGTCTGTGATTGGCCAACTTGGAAGTGGTGGTATCATCCGACTCCAATTAAATGTTTAGCAAATAAAACTTAAGCAGGTTGTGTTTTGACTAAATTATTAGGCTTGAGGCTCTTGTCATACCACAGATATTCAGAATGAGACTCTTTCATGTGTTGTTGCTGTTGGTTTGCAGGGTTATATAAAGGCTTTTTATGTTATATTTTTCACTTAACATCAGATTCTTGGAAAACATGAAGAAATGTTTTCCTAAGATGTTTTTTATGCAGCTGAGAGCTGAAACTAATGCTCTTATTAGGTAGTGTGGCGTGAAGTTTGGCACATTGTATATAGACTTGTAACACACACACACACACACACACACACACACACACACACACACAGTATTCTCTGCTTGTTCTGCTGCTGGATCAGCAATGTTTTATATAGAATCTGGTTCTCTGTGTGTTCCAGGTCACAGTTTCTGCAGGAAAACCAGGACATGGTGTGTCTGTGTCTGTGTGTGTGTGTGTGCATACACGTTTCCATGACTGTATTCAGAACAAAAACTATATTTAACCCAGTTGCACCTTACATCATATGACATCATTGTTTTACACTGATTTCTTCCAATTTTGTATATTAAAAGTGCTTTGCTGCTTTTTGTTTCTGCTCCTCTGATGTTTCTAACATGTTAACATTAACCATCAGAGAGCCATTTAGCTACATACAGCTGAATGATAAATAATGCAACTGTCATTAACACCACTGTTGTTGTTATTTACTCTACTGGATGGTTTAGTGGTTAAAGTCAACAGAAGGAATTCATTACTGTTCTGTTTCAAAATTAAAACCTCCAGAGTAAAACAGAATATCAATATTATTAAAGCAATATTTTTGTCTCGCCTCAAATTACTTTTTGCTTTGTCTTTGATTCATGTTTCATTGCTTTGTACAACAGCCAGAGCTGCCCTACTCCACCATGGATCAATTTATTGAATTCTACTTTGAACTTGTCCCTAGGTAAACTGTGAGGGAACTAAAACATAATTCCAGGGAACTTGTAATAACTAATTATACTGAAATTAAATTTTTTCATTAGTTGTGACAGGCTGCTGTCACAGAGCAAACATCCCTAAACCTCTGAAGCGCGCTGCCTTCAGGAGGCGTTTTTTTGAGGGGGAATTAGGGGGTTTTAGGAAAGAGAGGTAGGGATGTTTCCTCACCAGAATTTTACTCCTGGCAGTGCGGAATAGGCTTTGACCAGCATTTGAACAGCTGAATAAATAAAATGTGAGGGGGAAAATCAAAAACTTTTTTTGGTGTCTGGTGGAGGGGTAAGGGTTACTCGGATCTATCCTGTGAGTGTTTAACTGCAGCTCTGTAGCACTTGGTGGCTGTATAAAGTTTGCATTTTGGTCAGCAGCAGTTCTCAGCTTGAATTCGGGTCACTTACAGTGTAATATTGGCAAGATTTTACAGCAGAGAACAAGTAGCAAAACTTCCTCTCAAACTGCCCCTGCAGCGTAATTCACTTATTCGCTGCCCATCTACATACTCAGTATGCCTCAAACAGTCACGGTTTAGTCAAAACACACACACAGCTGCTGTCTGAATCCTGGTGACAAATCATTTTAAAGCATAAAACCAGCTGTCCCTGTTGTCCTCAGATACATAAACAGCTGTATACAGCTGGACCTGCAGGACGACATGAACTTACATTGAGTCCTTTCTGGAACAGCGGCTGTCCCATCACGTTAGCCAGCATCCGGATCAACGCCGCTCCCTACAGACAGCACAGAGACACATCCTTTCACACATAACAACAAGTGGAAACATGCACATTAATCACTTCATTTCATTGGAATTGCTGCGATCAGTGGATTAGCTTGTAGTCAGCCAATGAGAGGGCATGTTCCTTGTTTGCCAACTTGTCCTCAAGTTATCACTCTGCCACCATATTTCATTAGGAACTTACTTTTTTGTATGCTATCCAATCGAAGACTCTGTCAATATCCGTCGCCTGCTCCACTTCCTGGGAGATCGGGTGGGAGGAGTTTAGGCCATCCAATAGCATTACCTCATGGAGAACGTCAGTCAGGAAGCGTTGCTTCTCCTGAAAACACAGAAACATTTGTCTTTGTCACTTATGGGGACATTAATATTCATTGTCAGGAAACTGACTATAACCGTTGACCATTTCCAACCAACCCTTAACCGAAGCTGATTCTAACCATAAATTCACATCTTAAGCCTAAAAATAGGGGAGCCAGATGCTTGTCCCCATATTGGAGGTGAGTCACCACATTGTTGGTGTCTGAACAGGTTATTGTCCCCACAGTGTGGCTAATACCCTCCAGGGATTTGTTTTGGTTTTCAGCTAGCTCCACTTATATAAAACCAGGCCTCAACACTAAAAGTAAGGGAGCCACATATTTGTCCCCATATGGGAGATGAGTCCCCACCATGTTGGTATGTGATCGCCACAATGGGGCGTACTCTTCACAGTACTTTTTGGAAGCTGGGTTTGCTTTGGTTTTCTTCCAGCTCAGCTTTTTGACAGATTCCAATTAAATAAAGTCGGTCAACAAGCTGTCGTTTAGTGAAACAGTTTGTTCAGTAAACAAAGGTTTAGTTGTGTAATTATTCTGGTTAATCTTTGTTTACTGTAATCTTTGTTGTTTATTTCCTTTTCTTGTCTCATCTTCTTTCCACGCTCCGTTCATCCATTATTTTGCTTTCTCCCAGTTTGATTCCTTTGTTTCCTCCTCTTCTTTCATCTTGTCATTTTCTTATCTCTTCTATTTCATCTAGTTTTTCCTGTTTTAATTCCTCCTCCCTTCTTTTTATGTGCTCGCCTCCTTTCCTCCACTCCACTCAGTCCTTCATGTTTCCTCTCCTTGTTTTATGCACGTCTTTCTTCTCTTTGATTCCTCCCTTTCCGGTTTTCTCTCCTCTTCAGCTCTCTTGGTTTCAGGGTTTTAATAGACATCTGCAAACATGTTGAGCGGTAACACGCTCTGTCTAAATTACCCGTGGGATCAGGCTAAATCCAGAGAAGTGCGGCTCTGGCTAATTCATGGATTATAGTGTTTACTATGGAGATTTGGTTTTAATGAAGCTCCATCTTGTTAAGCAACAGGATTGTTGGCTTATTAAGTTTTAGTCATTAATGAACAGAATGAACAGGAACTTTTTTTAATTAATAGTATCTTCTGGGGATCTGGCCAATTCTTGGTCCAATGTGGCTCTGTGTAATTCGTGGATTACAGTTGTTTATTATGTATATTTGGTTTTAATGAATCGACATCTAGTTAAAAAAAGTTTCTTGAGATATTACATTTTAATGAACATTAGAATCAACAAAAATATTTCGATTTTACAGTGTCTGCTGGGATACGGTTACTTCTTGGCAGCTATGGCTCTATCTATGTTGATTTGCATGAAATTTACAACTTATTTGAGTCTGAATTAAAGAATAAACACAAACATATAGTGTTGAGAAGGGCCAGTCCACTTCATTTCACATTCAGAGGCTGTTAAGTTCATTTTGTCCCTAAAACTAAATGGTAAGGTACCTCAGTGAGTGTACAGTAGCGGCCATCTAAAATTGTCAGCCGGGCTCTCCTGGGTCCTGGGTGGAAGGTATGTGATCAGCGCTGTCTTGTAACATCCCTAAGCATTAAATGTGGAGAGCTTCAGTTGCAAAGTGAGATTATATATATATATATATGACTATAAAATGACTTCTGTGCTTACGTTTTCCCATTATTGAAATAAAATGTCTTTATTGTGCACAAATGTGGAAATTCGTCTTTGGCTTCACAGGTTGATTAAAAACCACATCCTTAAAAAATACAATACAAAAACACAATAAATAACACAACATACACAGTACAGACCATAACAGATAGGATCCCAGTGTGGAGACATTACAAATTTTAGTAAGATAATTGCATTTGGAATGAAAAACTTTTTGTAAATGTTCTCAGTTGCTGCAGCTGCTCTACAACGCCTTTCATTTTCAATAAATTCATTAAACGAGGGCTGTACAGAATCACATGCAATTTCTCTAACTTTTTGTTTCACCTGTTTACATATACATCCCAATTATTTCTGCTCTTTCCCAATAATCTTAACAGCCAAATTTGTAATTCTACACAATCTGTTTTTGTCCTTCGTCCCTAAGTGTCCATATCATGTCCATGTATTAAAAGTAAGAATGCTTTCGATGAGACTTTGATAAACACTCTCTAGGATATTCTTGCTTATGTCGTATGAGTCAAATTGCTTTTCTTTTCTTTTCTTTTTTAAATGTACTCTGTGTTGGCTGTAAAACTTAATTTACAATCAAAAATTGTTCCTAAGTATTTAAACTTGCCAACTATATAACAGGCTTATCATTAATCAAAATAGAAGATGCCTATTTTTACAGCCTCTCACTCTCTCCGACAAGGTCACACCTAGAATAATTATCTGTACTGCTTTAATATTGTATAGTTTGATACGCATGTGTGATTACTGTCTGTGGATTTGGTCAAATTAGATGAGTGACTCTTCAGGCTGTGTAACGGTACTGGTCTTTGCAGGGTAATGTGTGTTACATAAAAAGAGACATTCTAGAGCCTACTGCAGAATTGAGTTCTCTCTCTTAGTGTGCTACCTTCTGAGCCCATAGACATCGTCAGCATCAGAGTGTACCTTTTTGTTTCCACATAATGAGCCACTGGTGTTTCATCCTTACAGATCTCCCAGCCCCCACAATCTAGATTGTCACACTGAGTGTAAGGGCCTTTGTAACATCCATCCATCCATCCATCCATCCATCCATCCATCCATCCATCCATACTCAACCGCTTATCCTGCGTACAGGGGTCACGGGGGCCTGGAGCCAATCCCAGCTGACATCGGGCAAAAGGTGGGGTACACCCTGGACAGGTCGCCAGTCCATCACAGGGACCTTTGTAACACTGAGTACAAATTCTATGTTTTGTTATCTGTTACTGTAGAGCCTGCACACAGGTCCTTTTTTTCCCCACTTTATTTTGATATACCTCATTCATTACACAAAATAAGCAGAGAGTGCAGAAGTGGCCAGCTCACCTGGCGGCACTGAAAACAGATGAAACACAATAAAAAAGCATTTTTATTTACATTCAGCCAAAACAAAATCTGTTTTATGGGCAAACCATCTTTTGAAATACAAATCAACGCATAAAATCTACACTTCAGTCTCCATCTGAGGGTGCCCGCCTAAACAGTTGTTGGCCACAGAAGGAAGAACTAGCAGTCAGCTGCTCCTGCAGTGCTGGTGGAGTAGGTGGTTGGCATACTTCAGCCAATCGCAAAAGTTTGTTGGAACACACCCACTTGTGCGCTCTACAAGTCAACGTAAACCAGGCTCTGCAATCACCGAGAAGTGGATCGCCACATACAGCAGAGATGAAGCACATCAACAAAGAGAATTCCGAATAGATTTGTCTCATTAAGGGCGAGTGGAAAATCACCACACGAAATCCAGCAACATTTTGTAAGATGGGCATTAAAGTTTCGCTGAGAACTGTGCAATATCACTTCAAGGAGAGACCACCCCGCCGCTCGAGGAAACTGCACCAGTAAGAATGCACAATTACAACCTTTGTGAAGTGTGCATTTAGAAGTTTTCCTGTTTTCCTTTATGACAATCTCTGAAACTGGAAAGTCTTCCTTTGTGAATGAAATATGTTCCTGTACATAAAGTTTGCTTTTGTCTAATGTTTTCTTTTCTGATTTCCAAATATCGTGACTGCCATTGATGAGGTCCCAAGCTGTGCAGCAGAAAGTTGAAGCAGATTTTGGTGTTCATCTGAGCCTGACCAGTATACGACGCGCCTGCAGAAACTAGTGACAAAAGAACGCAACAAAGATGCAAGGCTAAGGCAAGCTATTCAGTGGATTGAGTCTGGGGAGACGTGGTATGAACGTAACTTCAGTGGCTCTGGAGTACCACCCCAGGCTTAGTTTCCACAGAAAGGACTGCTTTGTTGCCAAACCACATCCCAAACACTGCTGAAAAGCTCCATATCTGGGGACTGTTGCGGGAAGTTGCGGCACCATACTTCAGACAACATTTTGGGAAAGAGCATCACTTTTTCATGGACAATGATCCAAAGCACACTGCTGCTGCAATCTGTATTGCATCGGAGGGAATCAACTGGGTGAGGACACGCGCGGTGCAGTGGTTAGCACTGTCACCTCACAGCAAGAAGGTTGTGGGTTCAAACCCCGGTTGCCCCGGCCTTTCTGTGTTCTCTCTGGGTGCTCCTTCTTCCTAATGTCCAAAGTCATGCAGGCTTGGTTAATTGGTGTCTCTAAAATTGTCCTTAGGTGTGACTGGTTGTTTGTCTATTGATGCGTTCCATTTACCTCAGAGGTCGGAGCTGGGAATGACGTCACACCCGAGTTGACGGCGTTCCAGTTACCACGCTCAGCCAGCCGTTGTTTACAACTAGGCCAGGTTAGCTATTGATACGCCGATTGATTTAAAAAAATGCATTGTGCGGTATTTACTCATACTAAACACTGTAGCAACACGACCACATACAGCTGTTGGACAGCACTTTGTGTACGAACATTTCTATGAGACACAAGTACACAGACAGCCATCTTGGATCACGAAACCGGGGTAGTGCGATTCTCCCGACTTCCGAAGTTGGGATTCTGACTTAAGGGGCGTTCCCTTTGAAATTTTGACCTTTGAACTCGGAAATTCCGACTTCCCATGTCAAATGGAACGCACCATATGTGTGGCCCTACGATGGACTGCGACCTGTCCGGGGTGTGCTGGGGTTGGCTCCAGCTCCCCGTGACCCTGTACGCAGGATAAGAGGTTGATGATGGATGGATGTATGAAACGTGTTTGGCAGTCAATGAAAGACTTTGGTTGAAGACAGGAGCTTGTCCAAGCCATAGAGTTCTTTTGGGACACGAGACTGACCCAGGAACTCTGTAATAAAGAGCTATTACAGGCTTATCAGAAATGCAGAGACTGGTTGTGAAGAACAAAGGAGGGCATAGTGGAAAGTGAAAAAAACCTTCAACAATCCACACACACACATTTATGCCCAGAAGTAATGG